ACTGAATTTGGCTCATTGACTTCCAGGCCTCAGTCATTCTTCCTTTTGCATGTTAATAGCCATAAGGCTTCTTGTGACAGTTTAGCTGTGACACTCATCCAAAATTCATCAAATCCATGCAGGCATTTGCTGTGATTTCAGTAGCTGTGCTCATGATGATCTGTAGCTGTGCTGGCAAAGTTTGTTGCATGTGTTGAAATACACATTTTTGGACATTCAGGAACTTAACTAATTGCAAGTGATGCAATGAAGAGTGGGAATGAATTTTTCTGGAGATAGACTTTTTACTTTGTTGGCATAAATTCTGTGCCACCTTCTAGGAGAGCTGGTTACTGCTTGGAAAAGATGATTAGCACTCAGTCAATTCATGACAATGCTGAAAATGTTTAGACAAAATGGGAACCAGGCATTTTGCAACTTCCTCATTGTTTTACAGTTTGGTTTGTCTTGTGGACATTAGTTATCATGCATGCTGATGTGTCTTCTATTCTCTGTGGTAACAGCTGAAATACTGTTATGTGGGAAGCAGAAGAGTTTGATTCTTGTTTTATTTTGAACATTTCATAGTTGTATGTGCTTCTGGAAGAGATGCTTCTCTGCAGGGTGGCATTGTGAGGCTTATGAGAGTTCCATCTCTTTGTGGCAGAATACACAAATTAAACAAAACCTGGGGCAGGGTCAATTTCACCTCTAATAATGAAAGAAGAATCAACGCAATTATGTATAAGGGAAATACAAGTCCCATCAAACTAAAAAGAATCAGGTTACTTAAATTCAAATTCTCTTCCTATAACTGAAATATAAGGACTGTAAATTACAGCACATCCTCATGGTAACACACCCTCAGATTTTCTCAGATACTTGTCTAGAGTATTTTTAGAAGTTCTTAGATGCTTGCATTGCATAGTAACTGCAGTCTCATAGAGTGGATGTTCTTTAAGTAACACCACTGCTCCTTGAGGAGGGCAGTAGCAGAGCATGCTGTGTTCCCTAAGGATGTGCTCAAAGAGTTATTTCCAGATGGTAACAAAAAGATTCACCTCTGCTTTCCAGAAAGAATTAGGATGGAGTTTCCAAGACTCTTTCACCCTGGTAAATAGCTGAACCACTACAGTCACTAGTACACCCACATAAGCAAGTTTCTTTTTACCTCTTTTTTCCTAATAATTTTTTACTTTAAAACTTTTGAAACAAGCAGTGGATTTTTGAGATTTTTCTCAACCAGTTCCAGAAAGAGATGATCAAAATTATTTTGCCAGCATCTGAGGATGTCCTTACATCCAGCCTTGGGATTGGGAGTTGCTGTCTTTTTTGAATACACTAAACTCAAATGAGTTCTTGGCAGGTTGTGTCAGTACTAAAAATGTCTCTACACCTTCTTAATCATTTTGGTGCATTTAATTCTTGTCTGAAACTCCCACAATTCCTGCCACTGTAGTACCTCATGAATTTAATTTCTCTTGGAGTGGAAATACCACAATTCTCTTTTAAGGCGATTTCTTCACTAAACGCCCCAAGAGTTTCCCATCTGAACAGCTGGAATTTAAGGAATTGAAAACTTTCTAAGTATTTTGCTAGTGTAGATAAAACTTCAGGTTTCCCTTTGAGAAACCTTGCAAATTCATTAGTAGATGCACCTACATCCATCACAATTTCATGGTTGAATACCTACATTTATTTTTTTCCTCTTGGTTTTGTTTTTTGTTTTTGTTATGGTAATTCCTTCATGATGAAAGACAATATTAAGAGACCAAATGCTAAAAATGTTTAGGATAGTTGAAGCTACAAAACTAGCAGGGAAAGCTTAATTTCTCAGAGGTTTAGAGTTGAGATTTTGATTAACACCGAATTCTATCAATTATAGGAAAAAAAGAATTATAGGATATGACCTACCCAAAAGGAAATGAACACAGATGGCCCCTGCAAATTTTGAGACTTATAATAGACAAAATGAAGAACAAGGCTGCAGGTTTTATGTGATTGAATGTACTCCTATTACTTTTACTCTACGTGAAGCTTACTAAGGAAGCTGTATTCTGGCATGTCAGATGTAGCATTCTGTCCATAAATTACAGTTGCTGCACTCTGAGGCATTCTTTAAAGAATGTCTTCCTCCAGGTAGAAGAGAAGATGGAGTGGTCATCACATTGCTTGCATTTCTCTTGGCAGTTGGAGCTTCAAAAATGTTCAACATTTGGACTTTGTAGGCCTTATGCATGTTTTTGTGAGGTTTTCTTGTTTGGTTGGTTTTTTTTGGTTTGTTTGTTTGGGTTGTTAGCGGGGGAAGAGAGGGGCTGGGAGTTTTTTGGTGTGTTTTTGCTTTGTTTTTTTTTTGAAATGTAAATACACCAGTCTTAGCCCCTTGGTTTTTTGCTAGCCGTACTGGAGATGGAAATTCCAATCAGCCTGCCAGGTGAAATTTTTAGTAGCTATTTGGGTTTTGGAGGGAGGAAACACAAAAAACCCCACAACATGGCTCTGAAAAGGAGTTAGAATGTTTGGTTCCACTTGTAGTTTTATACAGCTATTGAGGTGCAAAAGGGAGAAATAATATTCTAATCCTTTTGCAGTATTAATTGTGACTTGAGCTCCTAAGAGAATGAGATAAAAAGAATCTGTTTCTTTTCCTATTTTTGTGGTTTCTGTATCTGTAGCATTACCTTTTCCATAACTCGAGTATTTGTATTGCATCATCACTTTGTGCTGCTAATCGCAGTACAGCTTTTTAGAAATAAGTATTATATAAGGGGCAGTCATTCAAAAGGCTTCACATTTCTTTGGTATTTTTTGGCCCTTTTGAAGGCTCTCCCACAGCTTATTTAAACAAATAGTACTGTTTGATTCATTGTTTGGAAAAAAAATGGAAATAATTGCTCAACCCTTGGCAGTCTGATGCTGAGGAACATAACAGGTGGTAACAGCTTCTTCTGAATTTCCTCTTCTGAAAAGACTCATTGCTGAATAAAAGTTAAGAACAAACCTTGAAATGAAGATGCCATTTTTTCTGAGTGTCCTGAGGGGAACACCTGAGACACCTGACATCAAAATCGTGTTAGATGCTTTTTGAGTATTGGCTGGGCCTGTTAAAACATGGCATTACTGTAGAGTTCTCTTTTTGTCCCTGTAGCCTGTAAAGAACAACAGGAAGTTTCTGGAAATATTCATGAATGGTTGTGGAAAGCTGCAAATTTCTGCTGAGTGGAAACTAGACTGTAATATTTTGGGAATATGCACATGGAACTGTGGCCTAATGAGAGCAGCTTCTCAGAGACTGCATTGTAGGTTGTTTGGAATGAGCACTTGACTTGCTGGTTCTTGTTTTCAAGAAAAATCACAGATTTCTCTTTTTGCTCTCATACTGGACTTGGAAGGTAGAGCACAACCGCAGGCTGTGCTGAGTGGGCACTTGTACAACTAATCGATGGAAATTGTTAGTAAAGAATAAGAACCTTCTGAAAAAGAGCAGTGCCTTAAAGACTAGGAAATTTACCTTTAAGCAGCAGGGTGTATTTTGGTTTGGAAGATCATTTCTCCAGCTTCCTATTTCTGATATTGCTATGGTGCCAAATGCTGAGTTACAAAATAGCCAGCTGGTTTTGCAGATAAAGCCAAGCCTGTCATTACCTTTTCAAGCTGCTGAGGAGGTTGTACAAGGGGGTCTTCACAGCTATCGAAGGCAGGTGGATGGAGACTTGGAAAATTCTGAGTTTAAGGTAGATTTTTGGGAGAGGCCAACATGAGGGAGAAGAAGACTTGCAACAGAACTTGGGAAAAGCCTGTCCCTGCTCTCACAGATTGTGTGAGGAGGGACAAACCCAGCCATCCTCAATCCAAGGACCAGAAGTGGTGAAGACACTGAGTGGCTGAGTCTGAGGTGGCTCTTCAGAGGAGTCTGATTTTGCCCAAACCACCTTGTACTCTTTGGATTGCATCTGGGTGTGGTACCAGGTAACAAGAGCTTTTCATGGAGTGCTTTTAAAAGGGGAAAAAAAGACAGAAGATTTGTGTGAACATGAACTTAATACAGAAAAATGTCAATCACCTCTGCAATGGAAGGCACATTTGAAATGTAATGCTGGGGTAACTCTGATATTCTAACAGGTGTTTTCTAAAAGGATAACTTTATCTGTTTATCATGCGCTGCCTAACTTTGGGTGTTTGGTCTAGCACACCACAAATTTAGACCTGATACTTATCAAGCCATGAGGCTATCTTTAGTTATTTATATATTTTTAGTTGGTTGATGTGCACCACTTAATTATTCACAAGAGTGACTGTGATACTGATGTTCCATGTATGGACCAAAATGCAGTTTGTAAAAAGAAGACAGTTTGCATTTTCTAGAATTAGTGATTTTTTTTTTTTTTTGTATGAGGGAGGGAAGATCATGACAGGATTGTTTTTAATTGAAGCAGAATCCATCTCTCATCTTTTATGATCCTCTTTAAGATACAGGTCAGTGTGAAAAAAAAAAACCCCAAACAACACTATCACATCTTCTGAGAAGAAAATACTGAAATTTTTGTGGTTGTGGTTGTATGTGGATTAATACAGAAGATTATAATTTATTTGTTATAAAAGGCATACTTTTGTCTCATGCCATATTAATAGGATGCTTCACATAGTTGTTACAAGTCAAAGGTTTCATTCATTCTCTGCTTGATTTTTTTGAAGCCAGAAAATAAAAACTACATTTTAAATATAAAGTGCTCCAAAATCAAGGATTCCATTTTTTATTTTTGACAACATATCATTGTTTACTGTGATGATACTCCAATTATTTTGTGAAAGAGTGTTCTATACATTGGCTTGCTGTTTCTCAGACAAATATGACCTGATATATTCAGTCCCTAACCATGTGTTGAAGTAGGCAAAATCAGCCTAAAAGAAAAATTAGGGATGTGCATATATCAAAAAACATGCTCAGCTGGAGAAATTTTTCTGCATTGTTAGAATTCTCTTTTTAAAAAAACTTTTTCCCCCCTCCTTTTGTGTTTTAGATATTGATGAGTGTGAAAATGACTTCTACAATGGGGGTTGTGTCCATGAGTGTATCAACATTCCAGGCAACTACAGGTGTACGTGCTATGATGGATTCATGTTAGCCCACGATGGCCACAACTGTCTTGGTAAGTGGTGAATGCTGGCAAAAAACTTTTGTTTCATGGCTGTGGCAAGAAGGCCTGATCTGTTTTCTACATTTTATCATCTGACACATCTTCAGTGAAGACTTGATCCAGGTGACAATAAATACATTCAAACCTGTGTGTTGGCCCCAGCGTGATTTAGGTCAGACCCTTCCAGCTGTCACTCTTAATCTTGACATGCTTAAAGCAGAATGCCCATGTTTAGTATTGCTGAGGAAAATCCTGACGCCCAGAGCCTGTGCTGGATGCTTGGACTTCTTCTTTAAGAAAAGTAATCTATTAAATATTATAAATATACTGAGATATATTTTGTCTGTTTTTTCCAACTTTTGTAATTCCAGTTGTATCTTTAGAGCTTTCCCTCCCCTTTCTTCTCTTTTCAGGCAGTACAGTTCTGGGATATGGTGTATGAACATAAAGTACAGAATCTTAGAAGTACAAGTAAGCCAGGAAAGAATACTTGGACAATGAAACAGGGCAGAAGAAACACTAATTACTAATAACTGGAGGGATAGTGTCTACTGACTGTGCAAAGCCCAGTGCTGGATCTTCATTGCTTCAGCAGTCTGAGGATTTGGGGATCTGTATTTTTGATTCATGGCCATTGTTCTGATTCAAATAGGGTGGGTTTGTCCTAGAAGCTACATAGGTATACTCATTATGGAATTCTTCACACTGTTGCCTGGAAATGAACTTATACTGTTATGTCCAGTTTCCCATAGCTGCTTACTTGTTGGTCATGTTTTGCTTAGAGACTCTTTCTCACTATTCCCAGTATAAATGCAGTGACTACATTTTGGTACAGTCTAAGTTAATTTCAAGGTGATGTTTATAAAACAGTGTGTAAAAGGGATATTTTTCTGTGTCAGCAGCAGTTCTACTTTAGTAAAAACTGAGACATTTTCAATGAAATTCAAGAAATGAGGCAGCGAACCAGAAATATTGTAGTCCAGTATCACCAATCTGCACTAATTGAAGCTATGAAAGAACTAGGATTTCAGGGCAAGGATTTCAGTAGATGTATTTTGTACTGCATTTATTTTCAAACAGAGTAATATTTGTTCAGATGGATTATATATCCTGACCATTGACAGGGGGTTGACTCAAACTTTCAAATTTCATTTGTTATAGAGCAGACTAAAATAGATTTATTTGCCTCAGCCTGAGGTGGTGAAATGATTAATGGTGCAAGAGGTATTTCTTATACAAAGAGCAGCCAGACATTAATTTAAAAAATAAAGAAAAACTCTATTTATTCTAATATTCATAAATTCTTACTAAAACAGAACACAGACATAATCAAATAGTTCAAGTATTTGGAATTCAAATAACTGTGCATATGTGTTGTTTCAAACAGCTTGCTAGTTTCAACTTTGTCCAAACAACTCCCATTATAGTAGGGAAAAAACCCTTTTGAAAAATTAACAGCAAAAGGAGTGACCTGATCAAGGACGAGCCATTGAGGAGAGCTGTGGGATTTTTTTTTTTACTTGCTGTCTGTGTTATTGCTCTCTGGTCATGAAATGAAGAGGCTAAATCTACAGAGATAGTCACATTTCTAATTACATTTTCATTAATTTATATTCAGCCACTTGATTTTTTGTGGGTTTTGGTTTTTTTATAAATTAAAAAAAAAAATAGAAACAGGTGACTACATTGGAAGTAATAGCAAAGAGCTCTCTTTCTCCCAGTGTACAGCCTTAGGACACTAAAAGAGGTCACAATTGTCTTTCTGATTTTGAGACCACGGATGGAGAGGTTGTGTCTGCAACTAATGAATGGTCTTTAGCATGTCTTAGTAAAGTATCTGGTTTTACTTACAGGCACTGAAAAGGGAATCAAGGCACATTCCCTCTTCCTTCCTTCCTTCCTTCCTTCCTTCCTTCCTTCCTTCCTTCCTTCCTTCCATTTGAATGAGTTGTTTGGTAGAGGACGAGCATGTCTGCTTGTAAGGTTTTATACTGAAGATTTTAATTGTGACAGTGACCATGCCAGTCTTGCTATGGCTGCTTGTTGTGTGCAGACTCAGATTTGGGACATCATTGCTAGAAAAGAGAGAACTTTTTTCTTTTGGATGGCATTTTTTCGCCATTATTTGCATCCCACCTAGTTGCTGGCATTGTCAGTTATACAGATTGTTGTGACAGCCTAGTGCTTTCCATTAGTAGAGTATCAGTGTTTGAAAAGGGGGACATTCTCATCCCTTCCCTTCTTTACCAGCTTTATTTCCCTTCTCTTATGCTACCAGAAATATGTAAATGCAGTAAGAAATTGCAGTGAGGTCTCAAATCAAAAAGAAACCCTGTATTTGCACAAACAAATTTAAATTAGGATTTCTATGACATTTTGGGAATTGGTTTGCTTATTCCAAAGATTTTCTTTTTCCCCATGATGAAATTAGGCATTGAAAGGAATTGAAATTTTGGTGAGTCCACTGGTTTGCATCTGTTCTTGCTTTTTGAGAACCACTCATTTTCATGGATTTTATGGAGACAAAGAATGCTTCACAAGATTAGCATCAATGATTTTCACCTTTCTTGTAATGAAAAAGATTGCATCAGAACTTGAGCATATCTTGTTTGACATCAGGATTTCTATGTATCTTGCTTGACTGAAGTTCCTGCAAGATCTTAAGCCATCTCTTCTTGACAGAGTATACATTCCTTTATAAATCTTCACTGAATGTCTTTCTGGTAGCATCAGTACAGCAAGATGATTAAAATCTTCTTTATAAATAGCAAACTTGGAGTATTCAATTACAGCAGATGCTGTGGACAAGTTAAGTGCTTTTTCCTGAGTTCTTCCTCTAACATTTCCTTCCTTCTTCCCTTCCTTCCTCCCTTCCTTCCTTCCTTCCTATGATGATATATCCTTGTCTAGCTAAAAATAAACTTTTTTTTTGCGCTCCCTTGAGCAGTTTTTTCTCAAAAGTTGTTCTAAATTCTTCTCAGTGGATGCAAGACTAGTATTTGGTGTCATAAAAATTGAAATAGGTTTTCCCTACATTTGAAATAGGGTTTCCCTTTTTGTACGTGAAATGTAAATCTGGGGGGGTTTATAATGCTTATCTGTCCTGTAAGTAAGATGATGTGAATAAGAATAGCATCACCTGCTTTCATCTCTCCTTTTTGTGTGTTGGTTGGGGGTTTTTTTCATATTTTCTTTCTCCTTAGGTCTGAGTTGTAATAGTCACTTTTTAAATAGGGAATAAGCATTGCTTTTTTGCATAAGCAGTTATTGCTTCCAGGCTGCACACATCCTAACTCTTCCTTTTTTTAAAGATTAGGATAGGTTCTATGAAGTCCTCTGCTTTTCAGTAAGCATACTAAAGATGGTTGCAAACTCTTCTTAGAAAGTTGCACCAAAAAAGTTGCAATGCAGTGTGGCCAAAAAAATATTGTATTCAGTGAATACTTATTTTATTTATAACTTTTTCTGTGATATTAATTGCTGTAGGAACATGCATTAATACCCTGTAAATAGTAGTACATTTGTCCTTAGAAAGTCCTGTAAGGAAAGGAAATAAATTTTTCATTGTTTTATAGATTACTAACTAAGGCAAACAGATTAAGTTACTTCTCAGTCTTCACACAAGGTATCTCCATGTCTACACCATAGGCAGGAACAGAATCCTTACCCTTCTGCATCCCTGATTTTATTTCAAATAGTCTGTATAGCTTTGGTTTCTCTTACAGAAAAATAGCAATTACTAAGTTTGGACATCTGTAATATGATATCTCAATTGATTCTTTTGTGTGTGTGACCTCCTGCAGATAACTAAAAAATAGGTTTTGATTCAATATCGCTTATGGTTCTTCAATTATTATTTGTCTGATTGAGCTAATTATTTGTCTGTTGGAAAAGAATCCTGGGAAGCAGAGGGAAATTCTGGTCAGAAATCAGGACAGAAATGCAATTCCTAGCGTGTGATACGTTCCATGGAGCTCTCTGCATGAGCTGAGCAGACTCGAGTGTGGCAGACACAAACACAGTGTCAGCTGTGAATTGAATAGCAAAGTCCTGGCTGTGTCCACAACCTTGAAGGTGTGCTTGGGGCAGAAGGCCTGATTTTCCAGCCTGAACAATGGAAATTAGCTTTTTATTTGTCTCTTGTCAGATGGTACTTTGCATCTCTTGACAAAGTGGCTAAGTCACATGGAAACTCCTGTGGGAAAGGAGAGGTGGCACTTTCCCTGGAGCATCTGAACCTGCTCCAGGAGTGGTATTGATTTGCCAGCTCTGGTAGGTGCAGCAAAGCAGCAATTCCAGCCAGGCATTTGGAAGCCTGCAGCTAAAAGAGAAACTTCTGAGACAAACCAGGAGCTGATGAGGCACAGGCCTTGATATGCCTGTTATAAAAACCTTGGGATCTCAAATTAGTATTAAAGTTCATGTTTGAAGTCACACAGTTTCGTTTCTTCTAAGGTCTGAGGTTAAGATCTAACCCCAAGTGCCTGTCTTGAAGTACTCCTTTACAATCTGTTGGCTTACGTTAAGAGAGAAGAGATTTAACTCTGGCATGCAGGCTTAATTCCTGGCTGGGTGGTAGTAATCTGCTATCTGACTCAGATGAAAAAACTAACATTACTATATACATAGAATCACAGAATAGTTTAGGTTGGAAAAGCCCTCCAAGATCATTGACTTTAACCTTTAGGTCATTGAGTCCAACTTTTAGATGTATGTATATCACATCATATGATTCAATCATTTTTCAGTAAGTGTTCCACTGCTCTATGTTTTTGGTTTTTTTCCAAATAAACCCAAATCCATTAGAAATTAAAATCTACCTGTTCCTCTACTGCTCTTCAAACATACACACTAGGACTTGGGATTGTGGCCTCATCTGACTATCAGTGTGAAGTGGAGGGGAGTTGCAAACGTGTGAGAAATCATTCCTAAAGCTACCAGATGTATGTTGTCCAGAAGTGTCACATAACTCAGGGTTGCATAATCACTGGTATGATTAAAGAGATCAGTGT